CTGTTTTAATACAAGACAGCAGCACCTACATAAACTAAGCCAGTAACACATTCCTTGTTTACAAATTTTTATCTTTTTTTAATGCTTTTTTGTTCCCTTACTTTTTATGCAGTTATTTTTCTTTTACTAATATCTGATTTGTAACCCTTTTCATCCCCTCCGGGGGATGTTGTGTGTTAATAAATAAAAACAAAACAAATGTTGTTGTTTTTTTGCTGTCGTACATTAGCTTCGGTAATAACTCTGAAAGTGAAGTCTTATATCTTCAGCAGTTAACACTTGCAAAACGAGTCTGTTTCGATCGATCATCGCTTAAGCAGCATACGAATTATTTATTTTTTGACTCATTTAAAAAATACGAACGGTGTCAATATTTAAAACTGCATTTTGTCTGTCTCTGGCGTGCTTTAGAATGATATAGATCTTGGCCGATCGTATTTTTTACAAAGGACCTGAATGTACAGCACTAATTTCACCAAACCTCCTGCTTGCTTCTGCTTTTCTATCATTATATGTTGAATAATTTCCGCTTAATTTTTCGAGCGCGCGAACCCAGAAATATCGCCCGTCTACACGCTCACATTTTAAATACATGGCCGTGGCATCAATATGTTCCTGGTGTCTCTGCTCTCTGCCCTAAAGAGTTAGTATTGCCTGCATCATTGTCTCGATAATCATATTGTTGAAACGAGGTAGCAGCCCTGGGATTCAAACAGAACACAGTCCCGCTCTATCAGCTTGTTGGGGAACGTTCACATAACAAGAGGTCATAGTTCAAGTTACGTTCACGAACGAAACAAAGTATGTTGGTTTGGAAGTGTCGTTCAAAAATAAATAATGGTTAATACTCGTTGAATCCTCAAACTTAAGCACTAAAACAACCATTTCAATACATGTGCCAGTGTTCAGTGTTCAGTGTTTGAACAAGCGGTCAGTGTTTTTAATAAGCGAGTGAGAAAAAATAGGGATAAAAACATGGTCGTTTTTCTGGTCGGAAATTAAGCGATATGCTGTTGATTAAAATGTTATAAGAGCGAAATATTGGGCGAAATGAGTATTGATGCCCATTTATAGCTTGACATGCGTCATCAAATGGGGACATGGTTAGAGTTGGTAGTACCATGGAAGGTACTAATCCATGGTAGTACCAGTACTAGTATACGTGGGGAGGGAGTCCAGAGACGGAACAGCCAGCATCCCTTTTACGGGAAAACGTGAAATCTCGACGGATTTGTTTCGTTCTCACATGTAATATTAGGTTTTGCAGGCTTCTGAGTTCATAAAAGATAACTAAATCAACCAAAAGCAAGCATTTAGAGACATACCTATACAGAAGTTGGTTTGCCAGTACTTAATCCATTTTTAACACCTAGCCTACTCTATTGACATTGGTTGTTTACATGTATTTCATGGATTTGGCACTTGAGGTAGCTGATAAGCCGTGTCGAAAACGTGCACAAAACCACTATTCTGTGCACGTTTTCGACACTGATTAAAACATAGTTGTAAGCACAAATTTTCATATGAGAACTTGAAATGCTTTCAAATTACAACGCTTAGTCACATTTTTTTGGACAGAAATCCCAACCGAGTTGAACAATATGGTGATTACTAGTTACCTGCATCCTACTTGCTGGTTGCAAGGGACGCTAGGAACCAGCGAAGAAATGCTAGGAACCAGAGAAGCTCCACTAGGAACCAGCATGTTCTAGAACCGTACTGTGTCTGGGTGGAATTTTTAGAAGCTGGTTGAATAGGTAATAGAACACTGTAGAAGGCAATAGAAGGTAATGGAACATTCTAGAAATTTGTAGTAAATTCCAGACTCATTATGTATGCTGATGTAATGGTCTATTTATAGACAGTGTGGGTATATATAGGGGAGTTGATCAGATCGGAGATCTCGTTGAATTGTATTGGAGTTTAAATATCTAGTTATTGGAGTAGTGGAGTTTTACCGCGTTATTGTAGTTGATGGTTGCAGAGTATAATAATACCAGTACCAGTTGAAACCTCATCTGTTGGCTCCGTGTTCGTATTTTATCATCGCCGCCAGGGAAGTCTTTCTGTTACTGTTGCCATTTTGGTATTTGAACCATCACACCTGTACTATACCAATTACGGTAATATTACGTTGCGTGTGACAGTATTTAATTTTACTATTTTGGTATTACATAATATCCACTGGTTTTTAAATGAGAAAAACAATGAGTTATATTGTTATTTTACATCTTCATGTGGGTTTAATTCAGCAGATTTATTATCAATGGAAATAGCGAAATTAAAACCATGCTTAATTAAATACATGCATTGCAGTATTGTCTATTACAAGAATGAAATCATTGTGTTGAGTGTCTGATGAGAACAAACTCCATCTACTGAGGTGATATATGTGGTGTACCATGAACCTTCTGTTGATTAGGCATCTCTTTCAGGTGGATCACATACTGTAGAATACTTTATTTTCGTTTGGAATTTATTTTCGCTGTAGGGATGATTCCGTGAAAATAAAATCCAGCGAATATACTTTTTTTCCTATATTTCACATTAAACTCATCGAAAATCAGTAAAAATAAATTACATACAAAACTACCAAAAAGACTTTTCAGCGAAAATACAGTATTTCACAGTAGAGTTGTTCTAACTGGCTAGTGTTTGTCTTGACTATTTTGTTGTTGTTGTGAGGCGGAGTCTTTGCTTATTCACAAAGTGTGCATTTCGTGCATTTTACGTAGTGAAATTGATCTGAATCTCACTTTTTTGGAAATTGGATGTTTTAAAGCAACACTGTGTTTTGTGATCTTATTTCTTACAAAGTATGTTTAATAGTTAATTTTCCATTCATCACGAGATCTCGCTTAATGCACGAACGATGCAATTCGAACATCTGCGACTGAAATTGGATTTTGAATTTATGGTTCAATGTCTAAATTTTCTTTCAGAGTGAAATATAACATTAAAGATACAATGACTTCATCAAATGTGTAATACCCAAAAAATAGTTTTGCGCTTGTCAAAACTCACATGACGTTTTGCCACCACTAAAATTCAATTTTGCAGTAAATGGAAGATGGTCAATTGATGCATGCGCAATACTCAGGATATCAGCATCAACACATTACAGTTTACATATTAGATATCAACATTGCATACAAGTACAATGTTGTCCTAGTCCTGTAAATCATTGGTATACTGCACTACACTGAACAAAGTATTTAAAATATATGTACAGTGTGCTTACTTGGGCTTTTCTAGGTGACGGGGTACGTAAGCTTTGTAATGATGGAAAGGAGGATGTTTATCACTTTTTATTTCTTTGCAAATCAGCTAACCACTTGAGAAGTAAATTCTATTCAGCACTGACCAATACAATAGTGGAAAGTTGGGGGAGAACCAACTATTTTATCAGGTGGAATTAATTAATTTCAAATTTAATTCTCTCTTTAGTGACGCTTTATGGGCAATCAATAAGGATTCAGGAAATAGTACATCAAAAAAAAATTCAAAACTTTCTCACCCACCTATGGAAATTCAGAAACGAGAAAATGAATGATTTACATGTACGAATGCTTTTATAGTTTGTTTTTTCTTGTTCTTATTGACTTGTATGTTACTTCTTACGCCATTTTAAAAGCTAATAAAATTATTATTATTATTATTAGAGAAAAGTTGGTTTACTTACCTAGACAATTGGAGGCATCTAGTTGAGACTGAAGAAAGGAAGAACAAACATTGCGTAGACTGGCAAGGTTTAGCATACTTGCACCAGCTAGAACACCTTGTACGTTCTCCACAGTAATTTCAATTTTTCCAGTGTACATAAATTCTAAGAGTAGTTCCATGGCCATTGGATCAACTCCTTGTATTTCAATGTAATTTTTGTCAGTTTCCAGCATGCCGTTAGTGAACATAGCACGCAGATATGGACAACATCCAGCAAGGACCACTTTATGCGCCTCAAATTCATGATCTTCTATTCGTAAAATGATGTCGCAGAGTTCATGTTTTTGACGTAGTTCGTTCATTACGCGGAATGCACTACTCGTATGTAGATTAATTGTATACACCCGAGATTGTATCATTTTCTTCTTGGATTTCCAGTAAGTGTAGTATGGTCAGTCCATATATGAATATTTCTGTTTATAGCATAGTAGCGACAACACCCGGGTCAACTCTGGATTTCTGTTCTAGATAACATGGTATTGACAGTGTAGTACTTCTAGATGTCTAATAACACTACAGTTGCTGCGATTTAAATACAGTAAATAAGATTATTTTTTTATGTGGATTAGATATTTCAAACATTTACTGTAATGGAAATGGTAGGTATTGCCTACAATATCTGTGGACCTCGTCCCGCATTAATTTGTTATGTGATAGGGTTTAACAATAATCTTTTTCATCAATTCCAAAAGAGCTTTGTTCTGAGATAGAACACACAAAGATAAGAAACACATTATTAATTTTTTCTAGATTCTTCATTATTATTTAAAAATTACAATTTAATTTTTAAAACTGATTTTCATCTCATGCTTTTTTTTTCTCAAGGAATTAATAATATATTTGCACATGCAGTTTTAATAGTCTTTGTATTCTAAATCAATACAATACATAAATGTATCCAGTAAACAAGAAACTCAAACTAAAAACAGACAACCACAAATACACAAGTGCACAAGCGTTTACAATATTATCAATATACAATATCAAACAACAATACTAAAACTAACATCTTCTTGTCTATATTGTATTTTTAACATATATTGCCAGGTGACTGTGGTACCTTTACAATTCATAAAAATCATGCTTAACCCATCGCTTCAACTTGAGCAGAAAAATGAAACAAAGTCATTTAGCAGCATACTTAACCGCAGTTAGTGTGAAAATATATTATAAACAACATGATGTAGTACAGATGTCAGACAGATACAGATGTCAACATTTCCCCTTTATAATATATGAGCAAATGCTCTCATGATAAACAAATAAATGGTTGCCATGAGTCCAAACATTTTCAAAGCCTCCCCCCCCCCCATATACATTTAATCCAAAAAACAATCCTCACTATTCATAGATACTTCGTCTTCGCTTTCATTTCTACTAGAGTTTGCCATTTTTAACTCTTGATCAAAAAAACAATAATGTAGAATCTTTGGAGAGGAGCTCAACAATCTTTTTCAAAATTATTAATGCTTCATAGTGGTCAAAGTGCGATGGTATTCATGCAGTGTTTGTTTGAATTTTATGTTAAGAAATTATGTACAAGCACTGTATGTCACATTGGACATGAATCATGTAATAACTTTTAATTCTGTTTGTTCCAATACTGTCAACTAATTAATTATTTACTGGGTTTTAATTTGGCTAATACTGTAAAATACTTTATTTTCGCTTAGAATAAATTTCTGCTATTTTCGTTGAAGGGGTGATTCAGTGAGATAAAATCTAGTGAAAATTCCTATTTTCCTATATTTTACACTCAACTCGTCAAAAATCAGTGAAAACAAATTCCATACAAATTCCAGCTAAAATAAAGTATTTTACAGTAGGAGAAAACAGCTAAATTAATCAATGTGAACTGGTAAGATTGCAATATATGTAGAACCAAGGTTGTATAAGATGAGGGTAGAAGTTTGTGATATGTGATGAAGAAGTCGCATGAATTGAAAAAGTCGCATAAATTGAAAAAGTCGTGTGATTGTGAAAGAACATTTTATTGACCCAATCAAACCTTTCTAATCTTTCACTGCATTCTGTGACTCAATTGCTTAGAGATAGGATATTTTATTTGGCACGTACACAATACAGAGCTAGTGTAAAGTCCGAAATAAGCTAAAACAATTCTAAAACATGAAAAACAAATTTTGCTAGAACTTGAAAAAATCACAACAAAAATATCCTCTCTAGTTGTACATTAGGGGCATAAATATAGATTGCTGTAAATAATGCATTTCTTAATTCCCTAATTTTGTCATGGCTTACACGGAATAAGATAGCTTTGTAATAAATACTTGCAAAGGAGAGAAGTTGTTTCTTGAGAAATTTTTATCTCATACATATCACTGAACATCACTACCGGTAGGTAAGTTGCATAAACAGACCTTATAAATCCTTGGCAGAACTCATTATTTCAGTGGAAATTCTGTGAATTTACAAATCACTGAATATGATCAAATATAAAAAGAGTGAAATTGAATACCAGTGAAATTACCTACAGTTAAATGTCTTGTTAACATAATGTTTTGTTAACATGAGACGTGTTGAGACATGTTATATCAATTATTTAGGTACAGTTATAATTTAGAAGGGGTAGATATGACAGGGGTGTGACACGACAGCGTCTTGACTTCAATAATATCAGTGCTCGATATGATTTACTTTAATAATACATGTATAGTACATGTACTGCTAGTAGTTTTCAATCATAGAACTAGTGTCGGCATTGAAGTAAAATAAAATACCTCAATGGCGTGGGTTATACGTGTAACGTAAATAATAAAAACAAAGATAGGAGTATTGTCACTTTAACACAGCTATTATGCTATGAATGCACGTGTAGCTTGGCGCCTAATGATCATAATTATCGATCCATCACACAGCGAGTTCTGTCATGATTTGTGTGGTGGGAACGTGTACTGTTTTCTGAAATATAAGTTTGTCAGATCAACAACACTAATAGAATGAAACCTTTCTTGCCGAAACGTTACCAAATAGCATCGTATCAATATAACCTAAATCGAAGCTAAATATCGTAGATACATAACAGAAACAAACAAACTACCTGTCATTGTATGTCTTTACACTTTCAATTCGCCATATTGCATGTACGCGAACGAGACAACCCGGAAATACGTCCACTATAGGTAGCTATACAGCAACAAATCACACATCTAATGAGTGATATTTTGTTCAATCAATTGATATTTCCTCTAGTTACATTATTTTCGAAAATTAATTCCATTCGTTTGCTTACCTGGGGTACAAACCCGAATCGCTTGTTCCAACTCAGGTGCTAATAAAAATTGTCAATAAGTTAAGGTGTACGTTAAAGTGATGCATTGTGGGAATCAATTTGTTATCACAGTGTCATGACGTCACTGTAAGGTTAACGATCGCGCGCTCGTGTAAAGTCTCACACTACCATTAATTATCCATCATGACGTAAAGAACAGTACTAATAATCTTTTTTCACCTGGGTCACAACACAGTTTCGGGGTGCAGCCTTGTTAGAATCGCATACATCTATTCATTTTGTTGTGTTTTTTTCAATAAAATACAACACTATCATGGGAGTGTGTAAATGGTGAAAGCCGGGTTGCCGCAAAATGATAATTTATTTCGCGGTAACCCGGCTTTTGCCAATTATACACTCTCATATTTTATGTTATTGAAAATCACTAAAATACAAACAAGAGACTGTATGCAACTCTACAGCCGTGTTGAAAAACACACATTACGTTCGGTGTGGGCATCGCAGCAGCAGTTATAGCCATTGCAATAGCTGTACCACTTGCATCAAACTCTGGTTCAGACGACAAGACTGATACCGGGACTGATACATTGGAGCATGCCAAGGATATTATGAGAAGGGTTCCATTGGTTGATGGGTTAGTAAATAATCGTATATGTATCTCGGATTTCTGCAAATCACCAGTAAGCTCCTGAGTTTTTCAGAAAAGGAATTTAACTGGAAGTAAACAATCAAAACTCGCCCACCAAAAATGTATCGTGCTTACGTCAGTTATCATGTTCTGTGGACAACGAGACACCATCTAAAATGCATTTGCTTTGATCACGTGCTTTCGCCAATTATACACTCTCATATTTTATGTTATTGAAAATCACTAAAATACAAACAAGAGACTGTATGCAACTCTACAGCCGTGTTGAAAAACACACATTACTTTTTGCCTGGCAACGCACAGTCGCCCGGCGTGATCCCCTATGCACAAATAACGAAAAGATAAGAAACTCGGTTTAGCCGGTGTTTTTTCCTGGGTAAATTTCTAAGAAAAATATTGATGAAAATCAAATTTCAGTTTACAACCAATCACAGTGTATTTCTTTTGGTGTGACAGCTTTATGAGTGTATTTCGAATAAAAGTATGTTTACAATTTCCACCTAAAAATGACGAAAATAAAAATTTGGCGAAAGAAAGTAATTGGAGAAATGTGACATTTTCAGTATTTTTTCGGCAAATTACTTTGCAATGACGTTATTGTGCCGCATTGCATTATCGGATACATGTACATGAGTAACCACGAGTTAGAAGGGGTAGGCGCCTCCTGTGCCCCTCTTTATTATCAGTTTGTATTAACAGATGTCGCAATTGCAATAATTTGCATATGGTATCCTTCACTCTATTAAGTGCACATTCAAAACAATACGTAACGCCACGCTCTGGAGTCAATTGATTATGCAATATGAAGATATTAAAATGTACATGTTATAGGATGTTTCAGGAATAGATGGAAAAAACACGTATATAATGCATATTGACTTATTCACTGACGATTTATGAAGATTTTTTTTAAATAAAGGTACAACGCTTCATAATATCGTCTAGAAACTCTTGTGTAAAGCTGGCACAACTCGGACAGAATACAAACAAATCACTTAATATATAGTCTCAGTAGTTACAGGTAGATTTGTAGGGGATTCATTGATTATACAGATGTTGCTTTGAAGTTATCTACATTCTGATTTAATTAACCACACCTCCCCAAATTCATGGCGACAAAACAATAGTTCAACATGGTACGTCAAGTTTACATTAATATTACTTCTCGTCTTCTCAGTCTCTGCCATTGAATAACGCTGTCTTCGATGGGTATCTATGTGGTCCCTTGTTTAACACTATTTTACACACCGTTACATCTATAATGCACGACAGTATCATTTGCTCTATTATTAGTTCCAAACAAAAATTTACAGATTTGGATCTGGAATAAAAACCACAAATTTCACTGGTGTTGCACAGAATTGGCGCAACTACTGAGTCAAATAATGGGAAATGCTCCCTAGATTAATGTTTTTAGTTGAAATAACGCCGTTTTACTCATATTTGCCTGATTTATTATGTTGATGGTCCAGCTTAGTCTCGACATGAAAATTAGCTCCAAATATTGTTACTGTGCTACTATTTTGACAGGTTTCACATCAAACCATTTTTCATACTGTCACAAATAAGCACATGAGAAAATACACAAATTGTTGTCTTACGTTAACTGTTATACCCGGCAGTCCGAAAAGATTTGTGCAGGTAATTTAGCTGACTTTGAAGATGCCAGAAAATTGTACTACATCATCGGCATAAAATTTGGGAAAGTCTCGATCTACAACATTACCGCCACACATCAACTGTCTCATCATGATACAGTCGGTCAAATCGTCAATAAATATTGAAAACAAAATTTGGGCTTAGGATGCAGCTCTGTCTAGTTCTAAGAGAGAACTTAAAAAATCTCAGTTAATCTATTGTTTGTTTTTTACACAGGTTTCAAGTTTACTGTACATTGAACGCAAATAGCAAGTAATGTATTATATCGAAAGCTTTCGAGAAGTTGATAAAAATACAATAACAGCGCCCTCTATGATTCGTAAGATACTTCGTGATCAAGAACTGAGGGGAGAAGATGTTATCAATCCGTCGACGCAAACCTGCCTGGCCTCGAGTAATATTGTTCTGATGAAACCATATTTCTAGCCGAGAATTAAGAATTATGGTAAAGATTTTACTCATTAATGAAATCAGTAAAATACCTCTGTAGTTGTTGACCTTTTAAGAAAAAAAAGTGGACTATGTGTGAAAAGAAACAATTGCAAGAAAGCAGTGACCTATTTAAATGACAGTGACCTACTTAAATGAGCCATTTGATACAAGTTTTCTCAGTAAGATTCTAGATTACATCAACCCAGTCCAGCAATACTTAATTTTGGTTTTAATTCCATTGGCACTGAAATAGCTGAACTGAAATCTTGAGTGTAATGTTATTATTTTATTTCTTTATTCGCTTCGTGTAGATTTTTGTTGGAGTTAATATCATTGTAAGCCGGGTTGCGTTGGCTTACATGACCCCATAAACATATATCTCACCGTGACGCGGTATTTTGGTTTAGCACTATGACCGGTTAGTATCTCTAGATAACAAAACATGTAGATACCATTCTGATTTCAGTCTGTTAATCGGACGACCATCAAATAATTAATACCGCTACCACTATGGACGGCGACGGCAGCATCTCACAGGAACCGCTAATATCGTACGGTTCAAAACGGACAAGAAAGATAATCGTTGTGGCGTTCGGTGTGGGCATCGCAGCAGCAGTTATAGCCATTGCAATAGCTGTACCACTTGCATCAAACTCTGGTTCAGACGACAAGACTGATACCGGGACTGATACCTTGGAGCATGCCAAGGATATTATGAGAAGGGTTCCATTGGTTGATGGGTTAGTAAATAATCGTATATGTATCTCGGATTTCTGCAAATCACCAGTGAGCTCCTGAGTTTTTCAGAAAAGGAATTTAACTGGAAGTAAACAATCAAAACTCGCCCACCAAAAATGTATCGTGCTTACGTCAGTTATCATGTTCTGTGGACGACGAGACACAATCTAAAATGCATTTGCTTTGATCACGTGCTTTTCAGATATGATGACAACAAAGCTAGAGCGATCTCTGTCCTGCATTGAAACTTTAATTTGTTTTGATCCATTGCAGATAGCGATGAATCAAAATGTAGGTCGATACTCGTTTGATCGAATTATAATTATAATTGATTGATTTATTATTTATTTATTTCAAGTCACAATGATCTACCATTGGCTATACGATACGAATGGAAAAACCAATTAGCAAACGTTGATTTGAATAGCGATCTGAGTTCATATGGTCTCCATACTGATATTCCTAGGCTCCGAGAAGGTCTGGTGGGTGGCCAAGTAAGTTAGTGATCATCACATTTTAGGTTGGACGGTGTGCAAACTGTGTCCCTAGTGGGCGTTCAGGTAAGTGAGTGTTGATAGCTCGCATGGTGTCCTCCCTGATATTTCTATGCCCTAAGATGCTGCCAGTGGCCAGGCACGTAAGGTGGCCAGATCATAGGTTGGACGATGTCCAAAATAATTTCCATAGGCTCCGAAAACTTCTTGGGTGGTCGGTCAGGTGAGTAAGTCGTCATAGTTCGCATGGTGTCTATAACGACATTCCCATGGTCTGGGAAGGTTTGGTGGGTTGTGAAAAAAAATTATTTTGTCTAATCATTTATGCCGGTTGCTGACGGCAGCTTGAATTTAACTAATCCAAATAGAAATGTTATTTGATGTGTACAATGAGACTATTTGACTATTAGACTATTTGTTCATTACGTCAACAGAATGCAAGATGGTATTCAAAGATAATTCATAATCACGCATACCCTTCGTGTCGTAGTAAATTTACATAAAGCAAATACAATTCGTTGAGTACATATATATTCAAATATTGCAGTAAATGAACTTTTAACTGCACACATACCATGGTATCCCTAATTGGTTTGGAGTGAGATTAAATGGCAGAATAAATGAATGAATGTGGTACAACCCCCACATTCTCATACATTTGCTGTCCTATTATATATTTATTGATTTGCTCAATTTGCTAAATGCACTTATTAAAAGGTAAACACACTCCTTACACCTGCCGAACCGTCACGAACTAAACAATTCTATTCGGTGTTCGACACGTACGTCTCCGGGCGGGAGACTACAGTTTGTTTTTTATCTGTTACCTCCTGTTTAGTTGATTTTTTTGCCAATTGCCTTCGCCTCCTGTTTACAGTAAGGAATGCTGCGCTTATCAATGACCTCCATAAATAATATTATTTATTCGGTAAACATACACATACAGTAGTTAGATAGATAGATAGAATTGTATTTGGAACGTATCAACGAAATATTCAATATTAACAACAACAAAACAAAACATTATTCATGAACAAAACTCACAGAACTGAAACACACCAAGAATATAGAAAATACATTTTGCAAAAACGCTAAGAATGAACGAATCATTACTTGGAAAATATTAAGAAATAATTCATCCATGCTAAAATCTCCAACTTTGTGGTATACACGTACAAAATCTTTTACAATTAATTTGACAATATAAAATGTTTATCTTATAAATGTTTATCATCCCATACTGCATTGCATTCATGGATTACATAGCCTGTTTTCCTTCAAAAAATCTCTAGCAGCGTGGAATTGTTATTCACTTCACCAGCAGAAAATGCAATAATAATACTAAAAACAGCACAATTTGACCAAAATTACCAGCATTTTAAAAATCACTACATAACTCGTATAAAAAAAATAATTACTATCTCTGTTACTGGGACCACTCATGGATAATACTTTGAACAACATGGATAACATTATCTCTCTTTATGTTGGGGCCACTAAGGGATAATACATGTATATCTTTTCTTGGGAACAAGTTAGGGAATTTTACTTCCTTCGTTCAACGTAATACGTATTTCCTTTTTTTAAAGTACACACAAACCATATTATTGATGACGCGCTTTTCAAAATGTATTGTCAACAAAACGTCCACAACATCTACCCAGCATTGAAACGTGTATTAGAGTCAACGTTGATTTGAATAGTGATCTAGTTGGTTCGTATGGTCTCCATACTGATATTCCTAAGTTTTGAGAAGGTCTGGTGGGTGGCCAGGTAAGTAATGTTCATAGTTCACATAGAATCCACACTGGTATCTCTATGCCCCGAGAAGGTCTGGTGGGTGTTCAGGTAGGTAAGTGATTATAGTTCGTACGGTGTACACTATGATATCCCTAGGCTCCGAGAAAGATGGGTGGACAGTCGAGTATATGTTCATATCATCTGGACTGGCTGATTGTAAAGTCAGTACACGTTGCGGGTCATAGTGAATATGACAATAACATGTTGATGCTTAACAACGGGAAGTTGGTGGCAGTTTGTATATTAAAATAACAAACACAGAACATATGTAATTCAGCCTAGGAATCTAAATGCAGCTGGAAATTTACATGATACGTTTAAAACCAAGAAAACCATTTACGTTTCAGACGTTCGAAAGTAATTTTTAATCATGCAAAGCATGCACGTGACGTCAATTTGAATACTACAATTTGGTGCATGGATATAGAGAACTAAGGATTATTGTACACGATGATCTAGTCAGATTCGTATTATAATATGTCGGTTCAATTCGTTGTAGTTTTGGTCTGTCTATGTTCCATGTGATAGCCAGTACAATGATGCCGTTCGCCAGACATTGGACCAGATTGACCTTGTCAAAAGATATGTCAAACAATACAGCGATACATTTGCATATGTTACAACGGCACAAGGTCTGACTTATTTACTTTGTATTATCTCTGAAACACATGCGCCATAATAGCTACATTGCGTGAATACTCTATTTTAGGTGGGATAAATTTTCGCTTAAAAGACCTTTTAGCTGTTTCGTAGAGTTTATTTATTTTCACTGATTTTTGATGAGTTGATTGTAAAATAGGGAAAAGGGTATATTCGCTGGATTTTATTTTCACTGAGTCACTCCTTCAGCACAAAAAGTAAAAATAACGGATTTTACAGTACACAGACTGAGATAAAATAACTCTTCATTAAAACCAGATAGACAATTTTACATAAATAGTTAAGTATATGAAGTGAATTTTGTAGGATTTAAGAAAAATTTAATAAAATTCGATAAGGTGTTTTTTCCATAATTTTGTTTATTTACAAGTATTAGGATAAACAATTATAATTGATTATATTTGCATTGTATTAATTTAAGTATTAATTTGATTTTCTTATTTACTGAGCTAAGAAGAAACCATCCCAGAACTCGACATTTTTTTCGGGTCGGACTTTATGTCCCAAAACGGGAGTCTTCGTACTCGGTCTGTGTTCTATACTTTAGGTGACTTTGTGTATATTCGACTGATTTCATACAATTTATATACCTACACTTACACTAATTATTTCAGCTCTATTTTAGAAAAAGAAATTTACATTCTCATTTTTATTTTTCCAGTTTCAAAATGTATTTCACATTTACGCTTTACTCTTCTAGACAAATTTGCATTTACAGTTTTGATTTGCAATTAAATTTACTGTTCATTACGAATTCGCGTCTATACAGTCAGTTGCTATTCACTTTTTAATTTGCTTTCGACTATGCTTTTTGATTTTCAATTTGTGCATTCTGTGTGAATTAGTATAATTGACGCAAATAAATAAATGCTAAATACACATATACTATCCCAACAGGTATCGTGGATGCATTTGTTGCTGGTAAGATTGGTAGTCTGATAGGAATGGAAGGAGGTCATAGCGTTGATAGTACTTATTCTAATCTTCGTATGATGTATGACGTCGGTGCAAGATATATGACATTAACACACAGCTGTAATACACCATGGTGAGACTTGGTGACGTGCACGGTGTTAGACTTTAACTGAACATTCCTTAACCAAGAATTAAAGGGCGGTGGTCGTCGCGCGGCGCGTGTTCGAATTTCATTCAAACAAACAATGTATTTTACAAGCAACGTGTACGTCGCTATATGTGTTCCATATCGAACAGAACGCGGCGTGGCGCGACGACCATCACCCTTTAAAGAGTGGTGGTCGCTGAGGCGCGCTGTGATCGACACGGGTCCCACACGACGTATACAGCATTGTTTTTTACACGAATTTGAACACGCGCTTCTCGACGACCACTGCCCTTTTAGATCTGAGAATTTATTTTATACATAACTGATATAGCTATTGTGTTATTAATTATTGTGTCTTCTGATTCTTGACCACACTGTTTTCATATTCCTGGAAACAAATCTTTTAAAAATTCATGTTTGGCACTGCGTGGTTGGCCATGTTAAGTTAGCTGCTGGCATGGGAAAACGAATTTACAGTGAACGAGCTAATTAATTTGACTAAGAAGTATAGATAAAAAATCATTCAATGCGACAGAAGCTTTTCATTTGTTATGTTGTTATTATTATGTTAATCACCTAATTTTCAATAACACTTTACTACAAGTTAAAATATAAATATGACTTAATAGGGAATGTTCCTTCGAGCAACAGTTCGATGCAATACAGTATTGTTTATGTAAATGTTGCTACACTTTTGGTAGCATAGTATAGCACTTACTCAGTTATAAATTTACGTAAGTTTTCAGTAAAATCGATAACAAAACAACAATCATATCAACAGTCTGCGAATTTGACAACACGACATACATGTATATTTGTCTGGTTGCACACTTTGTTTAAAACACGTGTTAAAGAATGTTACCACCAATCTCATACAAATGCTCACAAGCTCCCACCAAAAGCATAATTCTGCCCAAATAACTATAAGTCTGGTAGTTGTGTTTTACCTATCTCGTGATTACTATTACGCTCCTGAAAGAGAAACACAGAAATCCGTAATTTATCATTATTACTTAATTGCTGTTTATTTCAGGGCTGATAACAGTGGACGTTCTGAAGACGACTTGGAGTTTGGTGGCTTATCTGACTGGGGAAAGGTATGCACTCACTGAGTGTGAATAACGATCATGGGAATTGTATGCCTGTAAATCAACTTTCATCTGTACAATATGAACAAACGTTGAATGTTACCACTCCACATCTGCCACGCATGGATCTGGGTTTCTGTGGCCGCTTTCTAATCAATTCACAACTTTTCATTGTACATTTCCATTATTATAGGACCTGATTCGTGAAATGAATCGCCTTGGTATGTTAGTGGACCTTTCACATGTTAGTGTTAGCACTATGAACGACGCCCTCGATGTATCGCAGTCACCAGTAATATTCAGTCACTCGGCTGCGAGAACACTGTGTGACAACACACGAAATGTCCCGGACGAAGTCTTAGAACGGCTTGTAATTATTAATTGAGTAATTGATTTGGGGCGTACTTTTATCTTCAATATATAATGTATTATTTCAATTTATTGTTATTCGGTTGCAAGAGAACATACATCGACCCATGAATTGTTTTCAGGAGCCATAGTCGAATTTAGTTTTTCGACATTTTCGTATACGTCACATATCGAACACGACGAAAGTTTCCTGTTTTCGTCTTTTCCTATTCAGGTTGAAAATGGTGGAATTGTTATGATGGTATTCTACCCAGGATTCATAAACTGTGAACCAAACAAACAGGAAGTCTGTGATATCCCACAGGTCGCAGGTCAGATAACAATCAGTGATATGAGATTTGATTTGAATTATGAGACTTATTTCAATTATAGAGACACTGTATTCGCATATTTATCAAATCCTGTCATCAGTGCGTAACTTGCATGTGTCAGGGGTGTCTGGGTCACGTGATGTCTGGACTAAAACAGTAGTAGCTTACAAGGTCAATTAATTGATTGAGTGCAATTGTTTATTTAACATCTCATGTTAACAAAATATCTCCACAAAACATGGATTTCCCTTCTAAAGAATTGTCCATTCTAATTTCGACATACAATTTGTTACAATGTGTCACATCCTTATTCTGTGAAGCAATGGGCAAATGAACACATTACCCAGGGTATTACAAGTTACACAATCTAGTGAAACAAATTCTGCCTTTTCACTAAGCTAGGTATGCCACAATCTTACAGCATTGTCAGTTTTCAAACGTGCGAAAATGCAGGTCAAAATTTGAGCAAATATTTACTATAAGATGCTGATAATTTCTAAATTAAATATTTAATCAGATCACATTGAACACATTGCAAGTGTCTGTGGCTATGGATGCGTGGGAATCGGGTCTGATTACGACGGCATTAGCGTGTAAGTAGTTTCCATGGTAATTTTGTTCATATAATATACTTACGATTTTTATTAACTAATTAAATAGCCAATTTTTATATATATCCACCATTCTAAGACGTCCATCCAATTCGGGACATTTTTGGTGATATTGATATTTCATACCATTATTTGCACAAACAAATCGCTGCATAATAGATGTTTTTATACAGATTGTTCATTTGGGCTACTCCGTACACCCCATTTTATGATTCACCCGAGTAACGAATCTTGATGCCATTTCCATTACATCTTTCTCATTGGTACATTTTGTATCAGAACGCCAGTAGGATTAGAGGATGTGTCCAAATATCCATATTTAATTGAAGAAATGGTAATACGTAACTGGACAGACGAGAATATTGAGAAATTAATTGGAAGAAACCTTATCAGAGTTATGCAGGAAGTGGAAAGGGTATGTATGTATGTATGTATGTATGTATGTATGTATGTATGTATGTATGTATGTAGTCACGTGACTTAGTCAGGACTATGACAAATTTGAATGTGTATGTTGATATGTAATGTTCATTTGAATTTATTTCCAGAACTGTGGTATATATATTTCAACTATAAATTGTGTACACATTTAATATAGGGGGTCAAATCTAGAATATATCAACGTTACTGACCAACAAATACGTGTGTATGGCTATACTAGTAATCATATCATGATAAAGTATGTCAGCATAAAAACAATTCTCTCGAGTTGGATTTAGTATAATACATCTCTTTTGATCATTGAAGGTACGAGACACCATGTCAGACACTTTCCCCTATGAGGAATGGATTGAGCGAAACGACAGCAAGGCAGAGTTTAACAATGAGTGTCGCACACATGAAGAAGATGGATGGGCGTCTTATCCGAGCTCACAGAAAGCATCTGAACATTTGGCCACAACACAGTGCGATTAGAAATTATTATTGGCCAGCGGGGGAGGGGAGGCGTTGTCAACAACACAGGAAAATAAATTCAACATCCTAAATAAATTAAATATCTCTGGTCGTGTTATATTTTTGAAGCTTTATTGTATGTACATTTATCGCAAAGTAGAGACTTGCAATATTCTACAAATCAATTCAAATGTATTAAATATCAAAAAATACATTATTTTAGTATGATTTGTGGGTTTGGAATTACACACTGACATAACATGCCAATTGTTGCCATATTTATGAGATGGAATCGATACGTTCCGATGCAATTCTCATTGGTTGTTCGCGCTAATTCTATGGCTGTTTAGAACTGGAATTATATGTTGTACACTTGTTTAATCTCTGTTTCGTTATATCCATATAAAAACAAAAAAAATCTTGTATCAATTTTGTCAGTGTGATATACAGAAAGTTATACAAAAGGTGACATTTATAAAGAAACATTGGATTTGCACGTGTCTATTATTTTGTGATCCATTATTACAGTGTTTCGGTCATTTGAAGTGTGCGCTTAATATTCTGGTGTGTTTCGAATTAGCAATGTTATCTTGAAATGAGCTTTGCTTTGACACAAATCTGTTTTAGACAACTCTATCTTGCGTTTCAGTGAGGCAACATGATAACACAGTTTAGAAGGAAAGTGTTTTAGTTACTCTTATGAATACAAACGTACCTTGTACATTAGCATTTTGTAAAACATTTATAGTCTGGTGTTTTGGTTTGAAACATGGTTGGTAACTTACTTCGAATTACTTCAAATTGAACATATTCGAGAAATATGTTTAACTCACTCGTGAGAATGCTCTTATGCCACCGTTCACCAAAATTCAAGGAGTCAAACACTGTTAGGCCACGAGGTATCTGTTTCCAGTTGTACTTGTAGGTTAATAAAGCCATATACTCGTACAATCTGGTGCCTTGGACCATGGACATACCAACACGCTTGAACGTTACCGATATTTCTTTTTACTCAATGTTGTTAGCACTGATTGCATAAAGTTGATTGCATGATTCTATAAATGTCTTATCAATAAACACTTGACACGTATATTTTTGTGTGTTGTCGTAGAAACTCTTTACGAAAAATACTAAGACGATAATGTTTTAATAGAAAATACAAATGTTTTATAATATAATACACATGTTTTTAATTTAAAAAGTATGCTTTCAATTACAACGGTGTATTTTAATGAAACACGTGAACGTGCTTAAAAAGTTTACAGTGTACACCATGGTCACACCGACACGACATATGACTGGCTTATTTGTTGAAACCAGCATTAGTTGGTTATAATGTATCGCATTTTACCATGTTATCGCGAATAGGAAAGTTTTCAGCACATCAAACACTGTGTACAGATGTATATGATGCCATTGCCAGGTTACGGTATATATGTAACCATATCGTGCGATTCCTTTGCCCATCCTTTCAATGGTGAGGCGACGGCCGAAGAAATGAACCTTGGCTGACGAATACGATATATTTATGGTAATTCGCAAACTCCCATGGGTTAATAAAATATGACAGTCATATCCAGAAGTAGATACGAATACGAAGCAGAAAACAGGATTGGAACACCAATACACACAGAGAGAGTAATCTTTGAGTTAACCTGGTGTAACAGTTTCGGAAACACGAATATTTAAATAATAATCAGTCACTTGATTTGTTTGACCTAACATGAATAAGTCATGTAGGTGAAACACAATCGAATTAGTTTTACAATGACTAGACAATGAACCACGAATCTCCGAAAGCTGAACTGGAAAGTTAAAATGATGACCCACTCCCAATAATATGTCATTACATTAATTATTATTCCTGTCAATCAGGTATTACTAACAAATCAATGCTAGTCAATTTTCGAGAAATGGGGGGGGGGGGTTTCAGTGTGACAAAATCTACTAAACAATCACGTGATGAATCACTTAATCATTAAATCAAGATGATGTATGAATCCCCAAAACCATAATTGATGGCCAGGAATCTAGAAAGCAGTGGAGCATCTCGCTCTAAATCAAGAAACACCAGAAAAATAATTAATATATTGCTTTGATCAGTTATGCAAGTACAGGGATTGTATTGAAACTCCAGCTAAACAGAATAGTTGGCACGCAGGTAACTTGTGGTTTGGTAGAATGATTTACAATGCAAATAATATAATCGTTTTCGCCAGTGTACATAGATCTTCATTATAATACCCACTTCACATTTACAATGTGTTCCATTGCAAATGACAATCTTGTTCTTCACAGGTCAACAATTGCAGTTACAATTGTTTCACACATTCTCACTAACAATATATAATATGGGAACCTGGATTAAATATTCTGCAACTCAAATCTGGTAGTACAAAACAGACAGTGGACAACATTTTCTCAATGAGTACAGTATTGAACGAATTAAAAGTTATTTTTCATGGTTATATTATGTAATCATGTAACCAAGGTTAATGCTGGTAAAGTAACAGACCCCCCCCCCTCACTAGCATCAATGCATAGTCAGCTTTTTTTGTTTTGTTATTATGGCATTTGATACTTGCCCAACCTTGTTTGGCTAACTTGTAACACTCACTCCTTGTTTATTAGCAGGGTAGGCTAAGGTTTGCACTCACTGTTTGCTGCTCAATCTGGCCTTTGTTTTACAATCCTTGGCATTTCACACCTGCCCAACCTGGTCTGGCTAACTCCAAGCCACTAACATCACTTCACTATATAAGCAGGATATGCTAGGCTATCAACTCATTGTACCAACGCTGCTGCCTATGCCTGCTTCACCGTACACCTTTGTTATCACTATAGTTTCCAGCACAGACACTGGCCACAGTCAAAAAACCTTGCTTACTCAACAGCGCCAACCTCGCTCCAGGATACAACATCGATTTACTTCAAGCAAGCATAATTGCACCAATGTGACATCCACCAGACTGAGTTTCAATACCAATCATGGTACCCTTACGTAAATGAAACATTCGCAAACCAGCTTGCTTCACAGATGAAACTGCACTTACCGGCACTTACTTATCGGCAACATCAGTGGAAGAACAAAACTCCAACAGCCCAAACATATTCACGCTCAACATGAATGACCTCGAAGCTTTAATGCAATATATGCAGTGTGGCTGCAAACTATCAGTTACTGCAAGTCAATCCACCCCAGGGCCAAGACAGCATGGTTTGCGTCTTTCATGATTTGCTGCATCCACCAAACGTATATATATATATATACAGAAACACTGCCCCGTCAAAAGTAAAAAAATCACAGTGACACCAATATGTCCACCATTGATTTGGTTTCAGAACCAGCAAGCCCAATAACAAACCCCATCGCTGATGGCACAATCACTTCTGCTCTCATTTCATCCAGTAGACAACATGGCTGCGCCCTACATCACCACCATACAACAGCCAAATTCGACAAATCCACACATCACAAGGCATAGCATCACCCCTTTTATTCTGCCACCAAATGTACAGCTACCATACATCAACCAAGCAACATTGAATTCCCTTGCAGATTTAAGTAAGTTTGTCGATTTATCATATTTACACCCTGTTATGGTCTAGCAAAAAATATCTCTTGACCCCGAAAATCCATCAATTGCCACAGTCGATTCACAAACCAGTAGGAAATCATTCAACATCCTTGGTAGTTGGCTCTTAGCTTTCAGAACCTTTGCAGCCTATCACGCTTTCTACTTCCCACACGAGACAGTTCATCTATTTAACTGTATACGTTTCATTGATATGAAGTCTGATATGTACAAACCGAAGCATAGCTCACATATGACAACAGCTTTCGCCTAGATCAATCCTGGTTGCCTGATGTCGGATTTTGAAGCAGCCAAGACCCACGATACGACTACCAGTACTTTCAACGAAGCCTTCATATGCCACTTCCACTGTGCTAGAAATGCAACCAAGGTGGTTACACCAAATTCTTCAACATTCGACATGCCCTTACATCTCACAACACAATCGCAAAGAAGGTAGCTTCAAATCCTATCACCATGACTACATGAACCAACCAAATCTACATCACAGCAGTAACAATTAGAATCTCACGATATCCAAAAAACTTTAATTGTGGAATATGCCAGTCACCTTGCAACCACAATCGTGTTCACCTATGCAGCATCTGTCATAGCCAAGACCACCCAATGATTCAGCACAACAACAAGCCCTCAGCTACACCAACGCAGCTCTTTCTGAACAGAAGAAAGCAAATCAACAGCACGCCACACTCCTTTCCACTAAATGACCATACCGCCTGCATCAACTCCATCCATTTATCAACATTCACTCCATCTAGAAGAATTTGCAAAAGAACTCCATAACCATCTAGACAAACCATTTGTTGCTTCCATCCTGCACGATATATCATAGGGAGCAAACATTAGATTTTCTGGTAACCATTACACACGAAGCACACAAAGACTACACTGCAAAACCTTGAAGCTGTCAGCAAAGCAATACAGAAATAAATCAAAATTGGACACACTATTGGACACACCATAGGACGACCGACAAACTTTGGCACCAACCTCTTAGACCTTTGAGAACATATCAAACAGCATCAACGATCACATTCACAAAGAACAATACTCCCCTCACATATGCATGTATTGACGATGACATTGCTATGGCAACAAAATACGGTCCAAACACACTAATGGCCAAGACAACACGCCTTCCGGATATGCCCTGTCCGAAAAGCCAACTGGAGCCTGCCATTATTTCTTACATCGGGTACTTCCATTTGGCTTACAGTCTGTTTAACCATAAAGCTGAAACCATAGAATGGATAATCAAACAGCGTGCAAATATAGAATACCTAATTCACTATGTTGACAACTTGTTCACAGCTGGTCCACACAACACATCCCCCTGCCACAACAACATGCGAACAATGCTACAAACCTGTCATATTTTGGAGTACCAATTGGAGACAACAAATTGAAAGTCTATCTCTTGTCCTCATCTTTCTCAGTG